ACTGGAACCTATAAATTTCTGCGCATAAACTTGATCAAATACAGACCACATTTTTAATTACACAAGAAGATTGAGGTCCGGAAGGCATGTGCTGAGAACCACAATGGCAGTGGAGAACTGTTCTTCACAGAATACATCTCTTTCCACACTCTACTCTTCCGCTGATACACCAAAACCTGCTTACACGTTGCCAGGAAAACATATTCTCTCGTCTGGCTTATTGGGAAAATACCAGGTACCATTCCCCTAATACATCTCAAGCTCACACTATCCTCCAAATGCCACCGTTCACTCTCATAGTCCTTCATCGCCCAAATTTTCATCCATGCTTCTGATATCTGAATCACAGACAAGCACCCATCCAACTCCAACAAATGCGCTCTATTCCCCGCCTTGTAAATCACCTCATCTGGCAACGAAATCTTCCTCCAAACATCACAATTCAAATCAAGTGAAAGTATATACGAACAACCACTAGTTAACCAATGAAGCGAACCGTGGACAAAAACAACCTGGTTCCTATTCATGAGTGCAAAACGATCATCTTGAAAAGATACAAACTTCCTCCATTTATTTGTATCCGAATCAAATACCATGCATGTAAATGTCCCATCTGGCCTGTGACTGAAAGTCCGATGATAACCAGCCAGCACAACATTAAACTTCTGCACTGATAAATTACAACCTAAACCAACAAGAGTAGCCTCACCACCGGGATAAAACCTAGTCACAGGCCTCTCCCTACTCCTGGGAAGCAACCTGAACTCTCTGGTCATCGGATTACAAACATAATAAACACCCTTATCAGGGATACTAGAGCAACACAACAAGCCATTACATGAGGCCCTGACTTTCACCCTATCTTTCAAGAAATCCAGTGAAAGTTCTGATACACCCCTTAAATTATCAGCACAAATTAAGCTAGATTTCAACTCTGGTGAATCTGAAACCTCTACCAATACCATTGAGTTCTTAGTTGCTACTTCATTGTATAGTTGAACAAAATACTTATCTGATGATAATTTGTACCAAAGTTTGCATACAGTTTTGGCTCTAAACAAAGACTTAACAGGCAATCTAGCGAGAACTTGAATAATAACTTCATCAGGTAAAAACCCATCTCTTGAATTCATAATGCAATTGCAAAAAGAAAAGAAAATCCCAGATACCCAGTTGAAAAAATAACAAAAAGGATATCGAGGATCAGCTTACCAGATTGAAAAGAAACCAACCTTCTCTAATCTGGGTTAATTGGGATTCCATTTTTGGTGTCAAAGATGCATTTGAGTGATAAAGAAAGGAATTTTACAGTCTCAAACACAAAGAAATGAGCAAAAAAAAGGGATTTTTCTTTCTCTTTTTTAGTAACTAGAGAGTTTTGAGATCAGATTGAAAAGGAGCTTGAAAGGAAGAGACTTGATCAAAGGGAAGGGAGAGAATCAGGGAATCATCAAATGCTTCATCTGTTATCTAACGGTTATGGTTTAGTTTGATAACAGATTTGATTTCTGGACCCTTGATCACTACTATAATAATGGGACACATAGACGTGATAATCAGTTGCGTGCAAGATCTAGTGGTTTCAGGTTCCCTTTTTCACTCTTTGTTCTGTGTTTTTCAAGATTTTTTTTTAATTTTTAATTTTTTTATTTCTTAATATAAAAAATATATTTTTAAATAAAAAATATTTTAAAAAAATCTCTACCACCAAACCAAATACTATAAAAAAAAAAGTTTCAGTAAAAAATTATTTCTAAGTACCTTTTACAATACACACATTAGCGATTTGATATATTGAAATTATTTTAAAATATTTATAATAAAAGTGTAGATGAATATTTTAAAAGTATTAAATTAATATTTTTCCCGATCTAAACATGCTATAAAAATATCCACACCACGTTAGTAGGCACATTTATTTATTTACTTAAATATACATTTGTTCATTTACTTGTATAAAACAAGACCTCCTGTGACAATATCCATAGATCCTATTTTTAAGTGCATATGGAGTAGCAATACACCGAAAGTATCTAGCTAATTATTTGTTTTTTTTTTTTCACTAAGAGACATATTCTTAAGTTAAAACGACAGAGTATTTCTCTATTAATTAAATTTATAAAGACGAATATATTTATTTATCATCAGAGTTAGATCTTGTAGATGGACATGGAGTTTTTGCACCTTACAAAGTGAATGGCTTGTCTAGTTTTCCACGGGATGGAATCTTAGGAAGAATTATTCGAATATGAGCTTAGCACTTTGTCTTTCCATATGAAAGGGGTCGTGATGAAATCTTCACACTTTTATGACACCAATTTTAGCAATAAAATAGAATATCATTATTCACTTTTTATAAATTTATAAATATATTAAAATAATATTTTTTTTTAAATTTATTTTTAACATAAACACATGATTTAAAAACACAAAATAATAATAATAATAATTAAAAAATAAAACTATAACTAAATTGCAATGCTTCACTCCACCTTAGCTAACCCGATGGCAGTATTGTATAAGAACCGCAGGGTGTAGAAAGCTAAGATGAAAGAGGCAAGCATAATTCCAGGAGAGTACCCAAGATTTGAAACTTGGAATGATTGTGCTGTAATGTTAGCATTATACACTTCTTTGATACAGGTATTATATGACATGCAGTACGATTAACTATTTTTTAGAAAGAGAACGGCATATTGTTTAACAACATTATTTTAAATTATTTTTAATTTAATGATATAATAATAGAAATAGATACTCCTATAATTAAACATCAATAAAATATTAAGATATTTATTTAAAATTATAAAATTTTATAAAAATAATTTAAAATAAAATATAAATATCAGTTCAAAACCAACTAAATATTTAAAGATAAAATAAAAAAATCTTAAATAATTTAAAGAAAAGGAAAAAATAAAGGAAGGGATTTATATATATATATATATATATATATATAAAAAGAAACTATTTTATATTTTTTATTAAATTAAAACCAACAAGTCAAGTTTTAAATCTTTTTAGTTGACCTGATGAGTCTAGACAACTCGAAAAACCAATAAAAATATAACTTATCTTTAAAAAAGTTAATATGACACTTGTTTCATTGTCTAGCTAAAACTCATTTCTTTATTTATATATTTATTTTTTATACATATAAAGCTTGTTTTTTTTTATTATTTATAACAGGTGCTTTTTTTAATAAAGATTCACCATGATATAAAAAGCAAGTTGAAATAAAAAAAAATGCAAAGATAATTTTTACATCATTTTGTATGAAAATAAAAAAATTATATAAAAACTTAATATATGTTTATTTTTATTGGATATTCATGATAAATTTTAAAATAATTATTTGTATTAGTTTCACATAAAATTATTGCTAATTATCTCCATTCTCTTTCTTTCTTTTTTTAAATGATACCATATCATATGAATTTAATTGGTTTTTGTTTTGGAAGGCCTAATGGAGTCAAGCCTAAGCACTCCGGCCAAGCCCGCGTGTCTAGCCATAAAAATGAAAAAACCTAGGCGTGCCTCCCTGATTATTTGTCATTCATGTAAGATTTTTTCTTTAAAAAAATAAATAAATGATGTGTTTGTTTTTCTAGGTAGGTGACATGTTGTTTGCTACAACAAGCTCCACCCACCTCCAATAATCTAGAAATCAAGATCTGATTTATTTGAATTCTAAAACCTAAATTTCAATTTATGTTTGCTTAGAAACACCCAAAAATATTAAAGAATCCACAAAAACCGTCAATCTAAAATCTCAAATTCAAACCAAATCCAATAAACTTTGCAAGTCTAAATCCATTGTTTTTGTCATGATTAAGGACTTAAATTATTTACATTGAACTTCTTTTTTTTTAATAAATTTATTGATACTAAAATTAATTTTTTTTAGGTTATAATTAAAGACTCAAACCATCCTTGATAAACTCTTTTTTTCCACATAAAACCAACTGAGTTAAGATTGGCCTTTATTAAGGCCGAAATGTAGTTAAACGAAAAAAAATTCTCTTTTATTTTCGTTTCTAATAATTTTATCTCTCATATTTTAATACATATGAACTAAAATGCAAGAAAAACAAAATTTAAGGTTAACTATTGAAAATAAAAGCCTAAAAGCATTGGATTTTTTCATCATAATTAAAGGCTAGAACCACTCCCATCAAATTCATCTCTTTTAGTTAAATTTATTGACATCAATATTAATATTTTTTTATATTTGAAATGTAGCCAACCAAAATCTTTTTTTTCTTCTCCCTTTCCGACACTTTTTTTTTTATCTCAACATTTAGGTATAAAAAGGCTGGAAAAACAAAGTTTAAGGACCAAGATTTCAAAACTAAAAACAACAAGGATAAAAGATGTAAAAAACTATAACAACATGTTTGAAAGTCGTTGAATTGAATTTCATCACGAGGTTTTAATGAAATTTTATGTTTGGAACTCTTCTAAGTATAAAGAATTAGATTCCAAATAAAATTTAATCTCCAAAAATACTATAAAAGTAAATTAAAAGTCAACACATCTGATTAACGACTCCAAATAAGAGAAATTAAATGTTAAAATTAACTTTTATAAAATATTTATTTCCCCATTTTTTTTATAAAAATATTTAAAGAAATAAGATGAGGTAATGGAGGTATGAAATAAAATGAATTGATTTTATGTCATCAAAACATATTAATTCAGGTTATTTATTAATGGAATATTTCAAATCAAGCACTATAATTAAATTCAATTATAAAAAAAAATAATTCCAAACAACGTATAAATTCATAACTAAACCTTGCAAAGCATTGTGATACACTATAAAAATCCACAATCCACAATGCTCGGGTGAGCAGCGCTACAATAAAACATCCTGACTTTTTAGTTTATTACTCTAATTTAAAATAATTAGTTTAATTTAATTAATAGTTTAATGTCCAGCAAATGCTTCACCTTATTCATAATTATTGTAGTGCTATATGTGGCTGCACAAACGCCACACGCCAATCCTCATTCTTTTATTTTTCTTCTTTCTTTCCTTCCTCCGAACCAATCAAATTTCTGAATTGCTTGAGAAACCAAAACAGCATATATTCACGCATTCGTTCTCCACCGTCCTTCAAGAAACAAATACCACATCACACCAATTCATATTCCAACTTCCTTGAAAATCCCAGGTATCGGTACACACATCCCCTGGCTCCAGCCATGTCAGCGCCAGAACCAACTGCAAACCTCTTGACATCAAGACATCGTAGGAGGAAAGACATGTCTATGGTGACACAAGATATCAGGGCCAGGGCAGAGGTTTGTTATGGAGATGAAACATGCAGAGAGAAGATTATTTCCTTGCTGACAGAAAAGGGCTTGCCAAGTGGTCTGATAACAGTATTAGAAGAGATAGAGGAATACTGCTACATTAAGGACACAGGGTTTGTTTCGCTCAAGCACAAGAGCAAGAGAAAAGATCACAAGTTCGACAAGGTAGCCGTATGCTATGACAATGAAGTCACAGCATATTTTGAGCCCAACAGGATCAGGAATTTGACTGGTGTTAAGGCCAAGGAGTTCTTGATTTGGATTACTCTGAGTGAAATTTATGTAAGCGGTGACATTCCAGCTGCGTTGATTACATTCAAGACTCCTGCAGGTTTCTCCAAATCTTTCCCATTATCATCGTTCACTTTTAAAGATGAGGAGGAGGCGAATGAAGTTCATGAAGCAAAAATTGGAAAAATAAAGGGGGTGAAACTGTAACTGAAAAAATTTATTATATTCAAAACCTAATTTATTGGTCTCTCTGGTTCTCGTGCTTCATTTTCTGGAGTTTTCACTTTTATGCTGATGGACAATTTTATTTTTATTTTTAAATATAGTAATGATTTTTTCTCGGGCCAATTCTTTAGGTTCAAAGTAAAAGGTTGTGTAGAAAAGATAATAATAATATACTTACACCTGTTTGTTGCCTAAGAATATGCTTGATTGATTCTGCTGCTGCTTCTTGCCTATTCCCTGCATTCACGTAACCGAAGGACAATTCTGGAAAATGACATTGCCATGTCAGGAGTCGAGGTGGTTGTGAAAACATTAAGCCTTTTGTTTTGCACATTGGAGCCCCGGGGGCACGGGGGGCGGGCAAAGGCAGCAACATAGAAAGGGAAATGCTAAAGACGGCATTGCACTCTTCTCCTTCTATGTACATGCATCACGTGATTTGATCTAACGACTCGCGGACAGCTGAGGCTGGCAAATACCAGCCGAGAGTACTGCTGTAAGCTACGTAAACCGACAAACCCTAAACTTTGATGATTTGATCAGCTGAACTTAAAACTAAAATAAAAGGCCTGGAGGAATACACTTGGCTGCATTCCTTTCATTTGTCCTAAAACCTAGTTTTGAACTCTAATATAAGAAGAAATTGTGAAGATGATTTGTTTTGCTCAGTAGCCAATTATATGATCGAAAATTAACCCACCAAATTTTCATTTTGTTTCTACCAGAATTACTCTCGCCTTCAAATATAAGGATTATAAATAATATTGAAAACTTTTCTTGCTGGTTGCTGACACCAATTATTAAGAGAATCTAAATAACTTGGCAGAACTTGGCCACACATGTCAAATATAATGGCAGCCTAGAGTTGAACTAATTAATAATATGTTCAAGCAGAGATATAGCTATCATTAGCGTTTTACATAATCAATGTCAGTGCAGTCTCCTTAAGTAGAAAACAGTTAGCACTTGGCATTGTTACCTGGCAACTGGGCTTTAAGGACAGTGACCAAAACATCCAAAGTGCATGACAGTTAACCTTATAATACATTAAAGCCCCAATCAGGATGGAAGCAGTGATTGCATAGAAGCTTAAAAGCATGTTCTGGCAGAAGACATTTCGATTTTGGACTGAATCCAGCCACAGAATCCGGGGATCAGAAGCACCAATTCTGCAACCAGAAGAGAAAAGGGAGGCATTTGACAAGTGCAGCAAAAACCAAACAGATCAGGTAACGGGAGGTCAAAAAAGCATCAATTGTGGCAATAGTTAGGTTAGTGAAACAAGGGAATCTTTTACACACCTACGTAGCAGAGGAAAAACACAGCAAATTAAGTAACGAATAAATAACGTATCCTTGGCATGTTGCAGAGAGTTCATCCAAACTATTCAAGTATAAACCTGTACATTCCAAAGGCATTTCATACATCCTTTACGGCCACGGGATTGCACTTCCAGCTTTCCCTGAGATTTTATGATCAATTCCTACTTGATTTGAGAATCCGATAAAGGTCATACACAACCTATTTTGCAAGCATAAATCAAAGTTTAGTTGAGACCATAAACAGGTGAGCTGAAAACAGATGTCTAACCAGTTATTCTGTAAGATTTTATACCAATTTCCTCCATTAAAAAACTGATGAAAGTAATGAGAAACCTATTTTGCTTGCATTAAATCAAAGGCTAGTTGAATACCATAGTGCTCAAAGGAGATGTCAAACAGTATTTTTGGTTATTTTTGGAGCCATATACAAGCGAAAATTCCAAGTGGAAGACATGATTTTGCATGTTTATAAAGTGGGAAGGAGGATTGTGCATGCCATAAGCCATGTCATTGTATGGGTCTTGCGTTAGTGTACATACAAACTGCATATCTTTGGAACAGTGAACCAATTTCTATCAATCCATTCTTGATGAGGCCTCAGCTCGCGAAGTTCAAACTCCAATTCCTCTGTTGTTTTGAAGTGCACTGTGTACTTCAGTTTATTATGAACTTTGACAATACAGCCCATCCACCATCCATCATTACACCAAGCATGAACATTTCAGACAATTCAAAAGCGTAGGCACGTTGAATACGAGGGTGTGAAGGCCTTATGTCAGAAGCACCTGCCTCTTCTCTAAGGGAACCAGTTTCATCATCTGTTACAAGGTTGTGATATTGAACCAGAAATTTGTCACTCTTCATCACTTCCACAATGGTTGCAGAGTACCAAGAACCCTGGAAACCAACTTCTTCACTTTTGACCTCCACCCTTGTTCCTTGGGTTTTGGAGTCCTTCCATTACCCTCCAACACAATCGACTCTCCCTGCATTGTCATAATTTAAGATTATGAGCCCCCATGGAAACAGGAAAAAAAAAAAAGAAAAACACGATCATTCCATTTCCATGGAGTACAATAGCAACAATTACCAGTATTATTTTTAAACATGTACTCTACACAGAGCATAAAATCATACATGCATGCCAAAAAACAGTTTCTTTGGTCATATACATTACAGTCAGATGTAAAGTATACTGCACAATTGATATCCTAGTGTAGCATGAATGCTTATGCAACATAAGCATTTACATTTGATAAGCTATTCTGCAGATACAACTTGGGGCAAAATTTTGGAGATGCTACAGCCTTTCACATTTTTAGGTGGCTGCACAGAGACCTTGATGGCATAACCTTACCTTGCAAACAAGTAAAGGCCTCAATTTATAACTAATATTACAAGGAACAAGCTGAATGTGCTGCATGTTTTCTGTTGACAGTTCAGGGAATTAGGGAATTGTCCCAATTCTCTATTTATCTAAACATAATCACATCAATTTGGATCCAAGTACAACTGGTGAATCCAGAATCTTCTTTTCTGAGGAACGCATTCATTCTTGCTTAAAAATATTTTTGAGTGCTTAGAAAAAACCTCAGAAACTTAATCGCTAACAAGCCTCACCAAGATTAGCACTTATCAGCCTACTTATGCACACTCCACCTATTGGTTCTGAATTGAATCTAGCATAAGATTTTTTCCTCAGTCATAGTTTGCATAGATAACACGTTATCGACAAAAAATTTCACATATTATTTTTGTCCAATTCAAAGCAGCAGCAACACATAAAAACATAGAGACCACACTCTCATTTACTGGATAATTTCTTATTAAACAACATACCATTTTCCATTACTGTGTAACAACACCTACAGAGTTCCACAAATAGAAGCCTTTAAAAGTTATACCTTGATCCATTTTCCATTAATCCAATCTTGATGAGGTCTCAACCTAGCATGTTCAAATTCCATAGTTCATTTGTTGAGTTGAAATGGACCATATACTCAAACCCACTCAGCACTGACGAGACCACACCCTCCCACCACCCCTCATGGAACCATGCGTCAACCCTTTTCATGCAGTTTAAATTTGATGACATCCTGAACTTCGGGTGGATTAGGTCTGATATTCTGTTCAGTCACTATTTCTCTCAGGGGTGCAGTTTCATCTTCGGTGACAAGGTTCAGGTATTGCACCAAACAATAATTGCACCAAACCAAGAAGCATCGTAACCTTCTTCATCACTCTTGACCTCCACTGATTTCCCATCCCTAAATATTTGTTGCATTTTATCTCCAGCATTTCCTACAGGATCGGGTTTTTTCAGTCTGCATTTTATCTTCAACATTATCTTTCTCGATTTCACCACATCCCATATTTCTCAGCAATTAAAGCTATCACAAACTGGGTGTGCGTGTTAAACACCAAAAAAATATCACGGACATACAGTAACAACACTTCAAATCATTACCACAACCCATTTTCAAAAAACATTAACAAATACCTTCAAACAATCCTACGCATCTCACGATTTTAAAAATTAAAAAAAAAAAAAAAAAAAAAAAAAAAAAAAAAAAAAAAAAAGCAATCAACTTTAACCAAAACACAGAAGCACACAAAAAACAAAAGAAAACTCATAATTTAAAAAACCTGATGAAGCAGAGGCGGGATCCAAGATCCTTCATCCCATTCACGATGAAGCCTTAAATTACATTGTTCAGAAACAATCCCTTCGCTACATTCACCATCAAAACCAACAGCATACCTAGAATTCTCTAAAATATCCTTAATAGTCCCTTTATGCGACCCATTATCACAGTAAACATCAACTTTCTCGTTCACTTTAAAGGGCTCGTTGTTTTCTCTTGGAAGGGTTTGGCCTTACAAACCCCAGATCAACAAATTCACTGAGGCGTTTTGGACCTTTTGAATTTGATTCAACCATCAACGTTTGGTGCTCAATAAAGACTTGATTTTTATTTGATTTAACAACTGTAGCTGGATAGGAAGTTGAAGTGCTGGGACCATTTCCTCTTTTAAGGACCTCAACTCGATCTCCTTTGTTAAAAAGGGCATGGGAAAGAAGTGACATTTTGGTTTTCAATTAGCTGAAGTTTGGAATTTTAAGATTTAGAAAGTGGATTTTGGAGTATTAAGGGAAAAAGAAAAACCCCTGTGAGATAGAAAGTAGAGAGAGGGAAGGTGATCATGGGTGCTATATGTGTGATACGAGGTTGACAAAGATGTCTTGTTTAGAATGATGTCTAACTCCCTCTTCTTCTTTTTTAAGTGTAATCTTTGTGGATGACAAGGGATGGCAAAATATGTTCAAGTCTCTTGCGTTCCTGTGAGGTTTGATTTTGTTTATTTGCTTACGGATTTAATGTGTTTCCGCATGGTAATGTAAAGTGTTTTTTATAATTGTTTTTATTTAAAAATATATTAAAATAATTTTTTATTTTTAATATCAATATATTAAAATTATATATATATACATATATAAATATTAATTTAATACTTTTATATATCAAATATATTTTTAAAACACATTCAAATCTATTTAAAAGTCAAAATAAAATAACCTTTTACATATAACGGTGAGGTTGTGCAATGATGTTTCCATGGTTTATTTTTTTCCAGAACACCAGTGGCAGTCATAAAACAGAAGATACAAGGAAATTTCTACGTATATGAATAACATATC